GCAGCAGCAGCCGCCGCTGCAGCCCAGGTCCCAGCCGGTCCTTCAGCAGCAGCAGCCACCGCCGCAACCACCGTCTCCTGCCTAGTCCCGGGGTCAGGGTTGTTTTTTCTTTGTTCCTTTGTACTAATCTCTGCAAGGAGTTCAGACACCAGGCTTCCGGTTTTTTAGTGCAGTTTGCAGGGGGTTTCCAAAATAGAGAAGCGTGACCAAGGGTGGACGCCAGGGTGGACAATCACAGGAAGTGAGAAACTACAATATAGTTAGCAAGAGTTGATCAGGGGTGCGTGTGCGAAGATCCGAGAAGAAGACTAGACCGGTGGCTGGCGGCCTGACCTCCTCTGCAGAGACTCAGACTGACACAGGTGATCCTGTTTCTCGCCCTCTCATCATAATTCAATAATATTGTTCAATAAATGATAATTGGCCCTGCAGTGATTTTCCCTGTGTATTGATTCTCCCAATTACAGATGCTATAGGCCTAGGCTGCTGGGGGCCCCCATGACGCTCTGGGTTTCTCTCCTCTCTTCCCCTCCCCTCTCCTCTCCTCTCCTCTCTCTCCATGCATCTATGAGTATATACCACCATTACATGTCACTACCTGTGTGTCTGTGTGTGTTTATTGTGTCTTGTTGTTTTCTTTTCTCTCTCCTCTATCCACTTACCCCAAACAGTCGAGGCAGAAGGCCGCCCAAGAGCCGGGGACTGTTTGTTAAAGGGAGTTTTTCCTCCCCGCTGTCACCAAATGTTTGCTCAAGGGGTTTTCCTCTATAATAATAGTGATAATAGTAAGGTCTAGCCCTTACTTGCTAAAGTGTCCTGAAATGACTTTTGTTGTGATTTGGCGCTATACAAATAAATTTGAAATTTGAATTATCAAACATGTTCTCACGTTATCTGGAACAGGGATGCTTGAAGATCAAGGTCAGTAAACGTACAACCCCCAAATCAGAAAAAGTTGGGACGGTATGTAAAATCAAATTTAAAACTGAAAATAGTGATTTGTAAATCATTTGTGTTCTTTGTTACTTTGAAAACAACACAGCAGCACATTATTTGATGTGATACCTTTTTTTTTCATGCTCACAACACATGGCACACCACTTTCCTCCACAAGGCAAAAATGAAGCCACTGTGAATAGATTTAAAAATGTATTTGATTTGTACTTTGAGTGTTTAGTTTAGCTCTTGTCCCATCTGCAAATATAGAGGAGGTGGGATTTATGACCTATACTGCAACCAGCCACCACGGGACGATCACATTGCGGTGGTTTCACTTTTGGGAGCTGTCAAGACATCTGTATGTTATACAGTCGACAGTCCACACATGCTTATAGACTGACCTGTTCTCTCTCAGGTTCTGTGTAATGTGGATGAGCTGTTTGAGAGAGATGAGCTTTCTGCAGCTCCTGATCCTGGCTGGCCTGATTGCTTCAACTCGGGTGTTTTTGTCTTCAGACCATCCCTCCACACCCACTCAAGGCTCCTGGATTATGCCTTGCAGCATGGCAGCTTTGATGGTAACTTGCGCATTGCTATGATGTTGTTTTATAAATGTATGTAGTGCACTTCATCAACAAGTTGATTATTGTGAATTGAATCACTTGACTGCAGCTTTTTATTGGGTTTAACACAGTTCAGTTCTAGAATAGAATGGCAGGTATTTATCAGGGATGGCCAGTACAGCTACCCACAATGTTAATGGTGGACTCGATTATAAAGCCAGGCAAGATAGAGTAAATAATATCGCTTTACTGTACTCACTCAGAAAATACACAGTGATAGTCCATAATCCAATAGCCAAATTATACAACAGTCCAGGGTTAATACCCACAAATGAACACAGCCAAGGGATCCAAAATGGGAGGTCAAAGAAGCCGGTCAAAGAAGCCGGTTCACAGAATCAACATACCACAATCCGGAGGGTTAGGCAGAAATCAGTGGTCAGGAAACAATCTGGGGTAAATAACATGATTCATGAAAGCAAGGATAACACTGGAATGTCTGTACGGAGTCAAGAACAATTTGGCAGGTCACTGATGGGAGAAGGCTGCTTATAATGAGGTGAAAACAGGTGCAGGCAATCAGCACTGATCACTATAAAGAGTCCATAACAGAGATAAACCCAGAACAGGAAGTGGCGGCAAAATAAAAGTCTGAAACAGGAAGCAGTAGGACAGAACCCTGACATTCAGAGGTGTCTATTTTTTGTCCTCCCCAGCTATATACATGAGGATGAAAATTAAGTAGTAACTAAAGTTATAAAATAACTATAAAAGTTATAATTACCTCAAATGTAGTGAAGATGATGTATGAAGTAGCCCAAAATGAAAATGCTCAAGTAGAGACGCTTCCAAATTGTAAATAAGTACATTACTTGAGTAAATGTACTCTTTTACTTTCTATCACTGTGAATTTAAATTTACATTTCTGATTGAGCTAGATACTCACTCTGTACGTCGAGGAGACTGCACTGCTGCTTCAAGGAAGTTAAAAGGAGACGATGTGTGTGTGTTTATCAATAACTCGTGGTGTGGAGATGTACAGACTGTTTATAAGCACTGTTCGCCAGACGTGGAGTTTTTATTACTGAAATGCTGGCCCTATTATCTAGCAAGAGAGCATAGTGCTGTGTTTCTGGCTGCTGTGTATGTTAGCCTAAGAGCTAATGCCTCTGCAGCTCTCAGCAAACTCTATGATGTCATCAGCACGCTAGAGACAGCGCAACCCGATGCTGTATTTATCGCTCCAGGTGACTTTAACCAGTGCAATTTATGGACTGTACTCCCCAAATATTACCAACATGTGAACATTCCCACCCGGGGCAAGAACACTCTAGATCATGTTTACAGTAACATACGTGGTGCTTACAGGGCCGCACTCCGCCCCCACCTTGGATGCTCAGACCACATTTCTTTGTTCCTGTATCCAGCTTACAGACAAAGACTGAAACGAACAAACCCTGTCACCAAACAAATTAAACTCTGGACCCCAGAGACTGAGGGCACCCTGCAGGACTGTTTTGCCCAGACAGACTGGGATGTCTTTAAAGCTGCAGCCACCTTGGAGGACTTTTCTGTCAACGTACAGGATTATGCTAAGTATGTGACCGGGTACATTAGTACCTGCCTCGACAACATTGTGCCCACCATACAAGTCAGGAGGTTCCCCAACCAGAAGCCCTGGATAAACAGGTATGCCACATGCTGCCTGCTTGCTCTCATGCATTCAGATCAGGCGATGAGACGGAGTACAAAGCTGTGAAGTACAGACTGAGGAAAGCCATCACAGTGGCCAAGAAGCAATACAGAGAGAAGCTGAACGGCTTCTACTCTACTGCTGACTCCGGACGGATGTAGCAAGGCCTGCATCACAGCACATCACAGACTACATGACCACCACCAGCATCATCAGCTCCACAGACAGCCTGCCGGATGACCTCAACACCTTCTACACCCGCTTTCAGACCTCCAGCCACAGCACAGAAAGGAGGCACACACACACCAAGACCACCCAACCCCCCACCACCCCTCCACTAACTGTCTCACCAGGCCAGGTACGCACAGTCCTGAGGAAGATCAACTCCTGCAAAGCAGCAGGACCGAACATCCCAGGGAGAGCTCTCAGTGCATGTGCCAGCAAGCTGGCTGATGTTCTCACCACCATCTTCAACCTGTCCCTCAGCCAGAGCAATACAGAGAGAAGCTGAACGGCTTCTACTCTACTGCTGACTCCGGACGGATGTAGCAAGGCCTGCATCACAGCACATCACAGACTACATGACCACCCCCAGCATCATCAGCTCCACAGACAGCCTGCCGGATGACCTCAACACCTTCTACACACACTTTGAGACCTCCAGCCACAGCACAGAGGAGGCACACACACACCGAGCCCACCCAACCCCCCAACTCCCCTCCACTAACTGTCTCACCAGGCCAGGTACGCACAGTCCTGAGGAAGATCAACCCCCGCAAAGCGGCAGGACCAGACAGCATCCCTGGGAGGGCTCTCAGGGCATGTGCCAGCGAGCTGGCCGATGTTCTCACCACCATCTTCAACCTCTCCGTCAGCCAGAGCATCATTCCCACCTGCTTTAAGACCACAACCATCGTCCCCCTTCTCAAGAA